AAAAAAAAAAGCTGTCCCAAAAATGACTTTGTTACTGAGCTACTGCTATCGACGATGAAATTATTGAGCAGAAATTGATGATGTAACATTCAGTAGGCTCCAGGGTATCCCAGGATATAAACCATGCACTCACTTTCTTTCATCGGTAGCAGTAATTTTAGCACAAGTATTTTTCTTTGAGTACCCACTTTGGAGATGAGACTAGATTAATTTTACATAAAATTGGCAGGAACCTCTCGAGTCTGTTCCATTCAACTTAATTTGTAGCAACGACTGTACTGTTCCTCTGCGGTTTTTCTGGTCTAGATTAGAACCTTTAAATAAAGGTTTCTACTCTGTGACTTCATCTTCTTGTTCTTATAGGTATTTGGTGTCAGTGCTCTTCATATGGGGACACTGAAAGGCAAAAAAATGGTTCACCTGGTATTGTACAGGGACATGATCTGGAGTTTTCCAACAGTACATCTTTAACCAAGTTTAGGTGCTTGACTACTAGTACCTCAGCTTTTAAATTAGTGGTTCTCAACCTTTTTGAGACTTGAGGCACCCCTTAGAAAATGCCAGCTCTTAATTTTCACTCTTTTTTTGACAACGCAAAAATTGGTCTAATATATTTCTGTAGCAAAGAACTCAGACCACAGTTATGGATTTCTGTTTGCAATCTCTGGGTTTATCTTGTGACCATGTTTGCAAACCTAGCAATGTTAACATTGTATGACACCCTACATCACCCTTGAAAGAACCTTGAGGCGCCCCAGGGTGCCCTGGCAGCCTGGTTGAGAATCACCACTCTAACCTAACCTCACTTTCCAGCTACTTGCTGAACAGTTTTTTGAGATGTTGTTTATGTTTTGAGATTTCTTTAAAGATAGTATTTTTTTTCTTTACTTTTTAAAGTGAGAACCGAGATGACTTAAGCTACCGTCCAGCCCCTGAGGCCAAGGGCAGGAGCGGGAAGGGAGGCCAGAAGGATGGCTATGCCTGGGAGCTTACGGAGGCAACCTGGAAACAGGGCCCTTACGTCCATTTGCACTCATCATCACATTGCTGTGTTCCTGCTTACCTTTTTCAGGTACGTCAGCTGCTCATGGATCTCCATGGTGTTTCTTCACCCATGTGAGTTGGGGGTAGTGGACATATGGAGAGAAGGAAAAGGAGGGTAATGAGAATGCCTTGTACTAAATTCTTTACAAGCAAAGAAGCA